TTTCCTCCCTGCACTGTGAATGTTTACATGTTATGTGCAATTAAACCATGGCAACATCTAATGTTTGTGTAGTATTATGTTGAGCAGACTGTGTTCTTCTATTGTTGTGACTTAGATGACGTTCAGAGCACATTTTATGCCCAATTCATGCAAAACTCCACGTAATCCCAAGGGGTTCACATACTTTTTCTTGCAACTGTATATATGCAGCCATGCACAGCCAGCGCAAGAGGGGAACACAAACACTCTCAAGTGCCAATGTGGAGAAAGAGGAGAGGTGTGGCTTTTTGTCTGTGTTCTCTATCCTCTTGAGCTGGCTGTGTGTGCAGGGCTCTGAACAGCTGCACATGGAGTGAGAGCTCGTACATCGTGGAGACCTACACAGGACTCCACAAATCCGGGGGGCACAGACATAATTTAAATATAGAGAGACAATTGGAAAAAGAAGCTCCAACAAGGAAATAAAAAACAAATATTTGAAATGCATGTGAGTTATGTGATTTTTATGTGATGTGAACACTTTAATGTTGATAAATGTGAAGTTATGCACTTGGGGGCTAAAACAATACATGCATCATACATACTAGGAGGAGAATAGTTTGGGGTCAATGGTGGAGAAGGATCTGGGAGTTCTGGTAGATTATAGACTTGATAATAGCGTGGTATACCAAGTTGCAGTTTCTAAACTAGCAAAATCCTCTTTTGTATTAAAAAAGGTATAGACTCCAGAGAGAGAGAGAGATCATGTTACCCCTGTACAAATCATTAGTAAGACCTCATCTGGAATATGCAGATCAGTTTTGGGCATCAGTTCACAATGTAGCACAGGCCCTGCTGATTTACCCCAGATTCTCTTCCCAAATGGGTATAGAAACATCCAGGCACACAATAACTTGGACAGCCTCACAACTCAATGAGCAGGCAAGCAATACCTTTTTTTTTTTTTTTTTTTCCCCTTTAATGCTCGTTGAACTTGGTTGGGGTGCAAGGTGGGCTTTGAGATACTCTGAAGTTAGTGCACAAAGAAACCAGAGAACACTCTCTGACTTAGCTACACTCTTCAGGATAATTCCCCTCTTGGCAAACAAAAGAACAACAAGGAACCCTGGGACTCTGAGCAAAGAAAGGCCCTATTTTTAGCAGTGCTGCAGCAGATTATCTAAGGGTTAACACAACAAATAGTCACTAGGATCCTACACTCAGATCCAAGGGGGGCAGGAGAGGCGGCTGCCTGAGAATTGACACCATGTGAGGTGGAGGGTGCACCACATGGAGCATTTCTGCCACTACAAGCTGACAGGAGTGGCGACATCCCCGTCACTACTCCTGTCAGCTCAGCGTTGCAATGTACAAGCCAAATCTAGAAGAGAGAGCCAGGAGAAGGTTACTCTCCCCTCTCCCCTCCAGCTGCCGCTTATTGCTCCTGCATTGGAACTGTCAGATAAGGACTGTGTAGGGTAAGCAGACTCTGTAAAGTCCCGATCTAACAGCAGGTGTCCTTGAGCCATTCTCCCATACCACTGCTGTAGCAGCCAAGTATCTCTCTCCATGAGAGCAAGTGTTAAACGTCTGCTGGCCCTAGGCTCCTCCTCAACTCTGGTATGACAAGATGAAGAGAATCCCTGGGGGGAATAACATAACACAGGCACTGCCAAGCTGCACCTGATGTATGTGTTTATAAGGGAGGGTGGGAATTGTACTGTCACATGGTGGGGATGCAAAGCAAGAAACTTGGGATGAGAGTGTGCTAGGAGGGTAGAAGGATAAGAGGTTTAGTGCTAGGTGGGAGGTTTTGGGGGGATGATTATGTGCTGGGGGGATTGAGAGAAGGAGGGTTTGTGCAGGGGGGATGATGTGGGGGTGTTAGGAAGGGTGATTTGGGGAGATTTGTGCTGGGAGGTAGGATTTAGGAGGGGGAGAGGGATGTGTGCTAGTAAGGAAACTTTTTTTTTTTTTTGGAGGGGGTATTTGTGTTAGGAAGGGGGATTTGGGGGGCTGGGGGGGAGGAGGAGTTGTTAGGAGGAAAAATTGGGGAGGGGTGGTTGTGCTAGGAGGGAAAATTTGGGGAGTGGGATCTGTACTATAGGGGAAAGTGGGGGGGGGGGGGGGGGGGGGGGGGGGGGGGGGATTTTGCTGACACATAATGCTCATATAATTTTGGAGGGGGGGCAGTTTGTAATCTTTGCCCTGGGTGCTAGATAACCTTGTCCCTGCACTGCTCAGATCTATACTCACAATGTCCCTGTATACATCGATGCCTCCGTGCAATATTGGCAGACACTTCTGTGAATCTCCAGGCCAGATCCTCAGTAAATCCCCTTAATTTGGCTCCATCTATTTTCAGAAAATAGGCTCCCCAGCTCTCAGAGCAGAAAATTAACATTGAAAATTATACCCAAAATTATACCCAATCATACACAAGGAAAATGAAAGAGATGTATTTTTGCTTGCACATGATTGGCTGATGGAAGTCAGCAGAACTTCATCTCATTCATGAAACCAAAGTAAAATCCTCTTTCAACGTTAACAATCACCCTTTTTGTCTTTAGCAAATCAACCCCAGTGTATCTTCTTTATGTCAACTTTTCTTTCAACACATTTGTGCAATGAAAAACTTCAAAACCAATGCTGAGTCTCACACCCATGTTCTCTAAACTCAAGCAAAGGTGAATGACCTTACTCAAAGTTTGGGTGATACAGTGAACTCTCAGCTTTTAAGCACTTTAGGCAACTTATTTAGTGACTTACACAGTATGCAACTTCTTTATCTTTTAATCTTTTCCTATGTTCCAGTTTACGCTGTTACCATGATCACTCGCCTAGGTTTCCTTTTTCAGGGTAAAAAAATACCACAAGAGTATCACCACCTCCACACCTGTATATATATCAGGGATATCAGGATCAACCGCTCAGGTTCCTGTACACCCCAGGAGCATAAATGTGAAGAGAGAGCTGGTTTTATTTGTTTTCCTCTGTGGGTATAGGAATGTGTATGTGTGTATGTATGTATGTATGTATATGTGTGTATATATATATATATATATATATATATATATATAGGGTTTCTATTGGTTGAACTAGATGGACTGGCATCTTTTTTTTTTTTTCAACCTGACTAACTTTGTAACTACACTGCTGAAATAAATTAAAGGAACACTTTGAAAACACATCAGATCTCAATTGGGAAAAATATGATGCTGGATATCTATACTGATATGGACTGGGTAATGTGTTAGGAACTTAAGGATGCCCCATCGTTTGTTGGAAATGCGAAAATGATCAACCTACAGTGGACTGAATTCAAAGACACCCCAAAAATCAAAGTGAAAAATGATGCACCAGGCTAGTCCATTTAGCTGATATTTAATTGCAGCAACTCAAAATGACACTCAGTAGTTTGTATGGCCCCCACGTGCTTGTATGCATGCCTGACAATGTCGGGGCATACTCCTAATGGACCAGGGCATCACTGAGCTCCTGGACAGTCTGAGGTGCAACCTGGTGGCGTCGAATGGATACCCCAGAGGTGTTCTATTGGATTTAGGTCAGGCGAGTGTGGGGGCTATTCGGTGGTATCAATTCCTTCATTCTCCAGGAACTGCCTGCATACTCTTGCCACATGGGACCAGGCATGCACCAGGAGGAACTCAGGACCACTGCACCAGCGTAGGGTCTGACAATGGGTCCAAGGATTTCATCCCGATATCTAATGGCAGTCAGAGTGCCATTGTCTAGCCTGTAGAGGTGTCAGGAATGGACTGGCCAGCAATGGTGGGACTCACCTGCCTTATGAGCTGCAGTACCAGGGCTGGCCAGCGGGTGCTCCCAGCAATCAGAGACTCAACCTTGCAGCCAGTCAAACACCTGGAACTGATTATACTGGTGTATTTAAGGGATGGCCAGACCTGCAGACTCTGCCTTGGTGTGTGTTTCTCCTGGGCCCTGTATCCTGTTCCTGCTCCCTGTTCCTGTTCCTGTCTGATTCGTTGCTGACCCTGCTCTGATCCCTGGCTTTGTCTGACCATTCTCCTGCTCCTGATCCCTGGCTTGTCTGACCATTCTCCTCTGCCTGACCCTCTGTACCACGCTGCCCGCTACCTGCTGAACCTGGCTTGTGACCCCGACCATTCTCCGCTTGCTCCCCCTGTACCTACCTGCCCGATTGATATTGACCCGGCCTGCCTGACGACGCTTGCATTGTATGTACTGTTATCTGTGGGTGGTTTGGTTCGTTTGCGCTGTGTTATGTTTTAGTATTGCACTGCGTTTATGTTTGTATTGTTAGTGTTAATAAATTATATTGTTTATAACATATCTGAAGTCTGCGTTTCCCTGCGTCAGTCACACACCTCTGGTCATACCCGGGAGCCCTGACATTACACCAAGGCCAATCCTGACCCGAAGTGGCTGCACAGGGAAGCCATCTTGGTTTGTTGATGGGAAGGATGGATCTTGATGAGGTTGTGTATTTATATCTGCTAGTGTTTGATGACAGAGAGTATGCTTATCAAACTCTGAAGGAGTATCCCCGGGATGAACTGCTAGAATGTATACGGCTCGCTCATGTTCTAGTAGATCAGGGCACAGAATTCTCTGAGGTGCAGCCATTGATTCAGATTTCTGCGGAGTTGGTTTAATCTGGTACCCCCGAATGCAGGGATGAATTTTTGCCGCCATTTAGTGCCGACCAGGTAGAGTCCCTGGTGTGGTTATTAGAGGATGATGTGGATTGCTTCTTGGAGCATTATGCTGCATGTTCACCACAGGTACTAAGAGATTGATAAACGCAGTGCAGTCTTTGGTCAGACAGGCTTTGTGTAAGCTCAGCTTTGTTCAACCCATACTGCAGACATGGACAGATTTGTTGCGCCCAGCCTCAGTCAGCTTACAAAAACCCAGTCCTGCTTCTAATCTATTTCCTCAAAGCTCTATTCCTGCATTCCCAACAGCTCCTCCTGCCCTGCTATCTACCGCATGTCAGTACCCTGTTCCCACTCGCTGCACCTATCCTGCCTTTAACCCTGTAAAAATGCCCTCTGTAGCAACTGCTCCCTCCTCTGTTCCATCCTCCAGCTCTTCTCTGTCTCCAGCTGCTCCATTCGTTTGCAGACCTGCGTTTACTTGCAGTGCTCCAGTAGTTAAAACCAGAAAAAAGCGAAAATTCTTTCCAACCAGTACCATCCTGCCAGTATCCAAACCAGTGAGCCTGCCGTCTGAGAACCGGCCTTCCGTGGTTCAGCCTGGTGCCTCGGCACCCACACTTCAGCCTGAGGTCTGTACCCAGCCTGATGCCTGTACCCAGCCTGATGCCTCTCTTCAGCCTGATGCCTCTCTTCAGCCTGATGCCTCTCTTCAGCCTGATGCCTCTACTCAGCCTGATGCCTCTACCCAGCATGATGCCTCTACCCAGCATGATGAACTGATCCAGCCTGATGATCCTATTAGGCCAGTTGACTCGATGCCCGCTGTTGATCCAGATGATCCGGTACCTGATCGGTGCCCGCTGTCGTGCCAATTGACTCAGAGCCCGCTGTCGTACCTGGTGACTCGGTGCCCACTGCCTTGCCAGATGACGCGGTGCCCGCTGGCAAGCCAAATGACCTGATGCCTGGTGACCCAGTGCCCGCGGTCATACCAGTTGACTCGGAGCCCACTGCCTTGCCAGATGACGCGGTGCCCGCTGTCGAGCCAAATGACCTGATGCCTGGTGACCCGATGCCCGCTGTCCAGCCAGACGATCCAGTGTCTGACCCAGTGCCAGCGGTCATGCCAATTGACTCAGAGCCCGCTATCGTACCTGGTGACTCGATGCCCACTGCCTTGCCAGATGACGCGGTGCCCGCTGGCGAGCCAAATGACCTGATGCCTGGTGACCCAGTGCCCGCTGTCATACCTGGTGACCCGATGCCCGCTGTCGAGCCAGACGATCCAATGCCTGGTGACCCGGTGCCCACTGCCTTGCCAGATGACGCGGTGCCCGCTGGCAAGCCAAGTGACCTGATGCCTGGTGACCCAGTGCCCACTGTCATACCTGGTGACCCGATGCCCGTTGTCGAGCCAGACAATCCGGTACCTGATGACCCGGTGCCCGCTGTCGTGCCAATTGACTCAGAGCTGTCGTGCCTGGTGACTTGGTGCCCACTGTCTTGCCAGATGACGCGGTGCCCGCTGTTGAGCCAAATGACCTGATGCCTGGTGACCCGATGCCCGCTGTCCAGCCAGACGATCCAATGTCTGACCCAGTGCCCGCGGTCATACCAGTTGACTCGGAGCCCACTGCCTTGCCAGATGACGCGGTGCCCGCTGTCGAGCCAAATGACCTGATGCCTGGTGACCCGATGCCCGCTGTCCAGCCAGACGATCCAATGTCTGACCCAGTGCCAGCGGTCATGCCAGTTGACTCGGAGCCCACTGTCGTGCCTGGTGATTCGGTGCCCGCCGCTCCGCCTGGGGCCCGAGACCTGTCGCTCCGCCTGGGGGTCCGGCGCCCGCCGCTCCGCCTGGGGGTCCGGTGCCCGCCGCTCCGCCTGGGGGCCTGAGACCTGTCGCTCCGCCTGGGGGCCTGAGACCTGTCGCTCCGCCTGGGGGCCTAAGACCTGTCGCTCCGCCTGGGGGCCTGAGACCTGTCGCTCCGCCTGGGGGTCCGGCGCCCGCCGCTCCGCCTGGGGGCCCGAAACCTGTCGCTCCGCCTGGGGGTCCGGCGCCTGCCGCTCCGCCTGGGGGCCCGAGACCTGTCGCTCCGCCTGTTGACTCGGAGCCCACTGTCGTGCCTGGTGACTCGGTGCCCGCCGCTCCGCCTGGGGGCCCGGGACCTGTCGCTCCGCCTGGGGGTCCGAGACCTGCCGCTCCGCCTGGGGGTCCTGCGCCCGCCGCTCCGCCTGGGGGCCCGATGCCTGTCGCCCCGCCTGGGGGGCCCGATGCCTGTCGCCCCTCCTGGGGGCCCGATGCCTGTCGCCCCTCCTGGGGGCCTGGTGCCTGTCGCCCCGCCTGGGGGCCCAGTGCCTGTCGCCCCGCCTGGGGGCCCGGTGCCTGCTGCTCCGCCCGGTGGCCCGCTGCCTGCTGCTCCGCCTGGTGGCCACTGCCTGCTGCTTTGCCTGGTAATCCGATGTGCCTCTGCCCGGAGTCCAGCCCGATGTGCCTCTGCCCGGAGTCCAGCCTGATGTGCCTCTGCCCGGAGTCCAGCCCGGTGTGCCTCTGCCCGGAGTCCAGCCCGGTGTGCCTCTGCCCGGAGTCTAGCCCGGTGTGCCTCTGCCCGGAGTCCAGCCCGGTGTGCCTCTGCCCGGGAGTCCAGCCCGGTGTGCCTCTGCCCGGTGTGCCTCTGCCCGGAGTCCTGCCCGATGTGCCTCTGCCCGGAGTCCAGCCCGATGTGCCTCTGCCCGGTGTGCCTCTGACCGGTGTGCCTCTGCCCGGAGTCCAGCCCGGTGTGCCTCTGCCCGGAGTCCAGCCCGGTGTGCCTCTTCCCGGTGTGCCCTTGCCCGGTGTGCCTCTGCCCGGAGTCCAGCCCGGTGTGCCTCTGCCCGGAGTCCAGCCCGGTGTGCCTCTTCCCGGTGTGCCCTTGCCCGGTGTGCCTCTGCCCGGAGTCCTGCCCGATGTGCCTCTGCCCGGAGTCCAGCCCGATGTGCCTCTGCCCGGTGTGCCTCTGCCCGGTGTGCCGCTGCCCGGAGTCCTGCCCTGTGTGCCGCTGCCCGGAGTCCTGCCCGGTGTGCCAGTCTTTGATATCCCGCCAGTTACCAGACCCGGGCGGTGGAACATTTTGCCCAGCTAGGACTGTTTGGAGCGTCCTGAGGCCGCTCCTTGAGGGGGGGGTACTGTCAGGAATGGACTGGCCAGCAATGGTGGGACTCACCTGCCTTATGAGCTGCAGTACCAGGGCTGGCCGCTCCGCCTGGGGGCCTGAGACCTGTCGCTCCCGCCTGGGGGCTGAGACCTGTCGCTCCGCCTGGGGGCCTGAGACCTGTCGCTCCGCCTGGGGGCCTGAGACCTGTCGCTCCCTGGGGGCCTGAGACCTGTCGCTCCACCTGGGGGTCCGGCGCCCGCCGCTCCGCCTGGGGGCCCGAGACCTGTCGCTCCGCCTGGGGGTCTGGCGCCCGCCGCTCCGCCTGGGGGGCCCGAGACCTGTCGCTCTGCCTGTTGACTCGGAGCCCACTGTCGTGCCTGTGACTCGGTGCCCGCCGCTCCGCCTGGGGGCCCGGGACCTGTCGCTCCGCCCGGGGGTCCGAGACCTGTCGCTCCGCCTGGAGGTCCGAGACCTGCCGCTCCGCCTGGGGGTCCTGCGCCCGCCGCTCCGCCTGGGGGCCCGATGCCTGTCGCCCCGCCTGGGGGCCCGATGCCTGTCGCCCCTCCTGGGGGCCCGGTGCCTGTTGCCGCGCCTGGGGGCCCGGTGCCTGGTGCCCCGCCCGGGGGCCCGGTGCCTGCTGCTCCGCCGCCCGGTGGCCCGCTGCCTGCTGCTCCGCCTGGTGGTCCACTGCCTGCTGCTTCGCCTGGTAATCCGATGTGCCTCTGCCCGGAGTCCAGCCCGATGTGCCTCTGCCCGGAGTCCAGCCCGATGTGCCTCTGCCCGGAGTCCAGCCCGTGTGCCTCTGCCCGGAGTCCAGCCCGGTGTGCCTCTGCCCGGAGTCCAGCCCGGTGTGCCTCTGCCCGGTGTGCCTCTGCCCGGGTGTGCCTCTGCCCGGTGTGCCCTTGCCCGGTGTGCCTCTGCCCGGAGTCCTGCCCGATGTGCCTCTGCCCGGAGTCCAGCCCGATGTGTGCCTCTGCCCGGTGTGCCTCTGCCCGGTGTGCCGCTGCCCGGAGTCCTGCCCGGTGTGCCAGTCTTTGATATCCCGCCAGTTACCAGACCCGGGCGGTGGAACATTTTGCCCAGCTAGGACTGTTTGGAGCGTCCTGAGGCCGCTCCTTGAGGGGGGGTACTGTCAGGAATGGACTGGCCAGCAATGGTGGGACTCACCTGCCTTATGAGCTGCAGTACCAGGGCTGGCCAGCGGGTGCTCCCAGCAATCAGAGACTCAACCTTGCAGCCAGTCAAACACCTGGAACTGATTATACTGGTGTATTTAAGGGATGGCCAGACCTGCAGACTCTGCCTTGGTGTGTGTTTCTCCTGGGCCCTGTATCCTGTTCCTGCTCCCTGTTCCTGTTCCTGTCTGATTCGTTGCTGACCCTGCTCTGATCCCTGGCTTTGTCTGACCATTCTCCTGCTCCTGATCCCTGGCTTGTCTGACCATTCTCCTCTGCCTGACCCTCTGTACCACGCTGCCCGCTACCTGCTGAACCTGACTTGTGACCCCGACCATTCTCCGCTTGCTCCCCCTGTACCTACCTGCCCGATTGATATTGACCCGGCCTGCCTGACGACGCTTGCATTGTATGTACTGTTATCTGTGGGTGGTTTGGTTTGGTTCGTTTGCGCTGTGTTATGTTTTAGTATTGCACTGCGTTTATGTTTGTATTGTTAGTGTTAATAAATTATATTGTTTATAACATATCTGAAGTCTGCGTTTCCCTGCGTCAGTCACATACCTCTGGTCATACCCGGGAGCCCTGACAAGAGGTCTGTGCATCCCTCCATGGATATACCTCGCCAGACCATCACTGACCCACCACCAAAGCGGTCATGCTGAATGAGGTTACAGGCAGCATAACATTCTCCACAGCTTATCCAGACCCTTTCACATCTGTCACATGTGCTCAGGGTGAACCTGCTCTCATCTGTGAAAAGCACAGGGCGCCAGTGACAGACCTGCCAATTCTGGTGTTCAATAGCAAATGACCTGGAAAATAATGGTCTTCAGAGTTTTCTCTGCCCACAAGTGATGCCTGTGTGTACTCAGGACACCTCCTCTAAACATGTTTTGATTTAAAGAATATAACTGGACATTACCATACAGAATATTACAAATGTAAGTACAAATACCAGAAATTGTTTATTCAGGGATTGATTGCCCTAGGACAGTGGTCTCCAAACTGCGGATCATGGACCAGATGCGGCCCTCTGCTTGCTTTTATCCGACCCTCGGGGGCACTAATATACTACTGATACAAGGCACCATTCAATCTACTGACACCAGGAATGGGGCACTATCCTTCCCACTGATAAAAAAAATGGGGCACTGCTCCTCCCACTATTACCAATGATGGGGCATTATTCCTCTTGCTGACCACAGGCGCTATGTATCTTCTTACTCCCACTGACCACCTTGCCTGAGGCATTGATTAATCCTAATAATGCTGGGACATTTTCAACTCCCTCAGGCCCCAATCAGCTTGACCTAGAGTCTGAAGGACAGTAATATGGCCCTGATGAGAAAGTTTGGAGACCCCTGCTCTAGGAGATCAGAAAATACTTTTTAGTCTGTTGAAGCAAATTAAACCATGCACTAGAAGGGTTTTTTTTTGCCTTACTCTGGATCAGCTCTGGGTACAGGGTTCTGTATATGGAGCTTTGTTTATTCTATTTCTTCTTTTTTTTAAAAAAAAATTCTTATTGGTTGAATTAAATGGACTTGTAGCTTTTGTCAACCTGACTACTGTATATAACTATATAGTGTGTGGTACATCCTGTGGCAGTAAGAATTGATTCTAACATTGTGAAGTTACTGATGTAACTTGTTTGAGCTTCAGACCAAAAGTTTCCCATCTGCCATCAAATTCTGTGTTTATATATGTTTGTTCAAGCAAATTTTCCCAGA